GATTAAACATAAAATTCTCATATATACAGAAGAGAATAAAGAAAACAAAAAACAGCTGAACTGTGTAGTAATCTAAGTTTGGATATACTTACAAAAGCCCGTCGATGACGCACCAGGAAACATTTAATAGCGTCTTCAGGAAAAAAAAGAACTTCTTCAATTGTCTTCGGCCCTATTTAATGCTTAAAAATGTATGTTTACCCGCCCCGGTACGTTGTAAAAGTAAACCCAAGTAAACTTGATTTGAGCTCGTCTAGCAGGGCTGAAAAACGACTGCGCATGTGTTATGTCATGCGGCAAAAAACNATATATATGTCTACGTGAAGCTTGCTGGTTTATTTATGAAGACTTCAATTCCCGCGCGATTTCAGTTTTATCTCGCAGTTTACATGCGGGCTTGGTTGGGAGTCAAATTGTAATAAAACTATGATTGGAAGGAATTTATTACGTTACGTCCATTGAAAGTTTACTTGATAATAACTCGATTATATTTTTAAAGTGTATAAAATCAATCAAACCTACTCACCAAGAGCTGCCATCGTTTCCACAAAGAAGGGACGCTTTCAGGAACTTTTCCGCCGGCTTTAAACGAACATTCCCCTTGAATCCTTTCAGCATGTCAGAGAATTTCCGTTGACTGAAAACGTTCACAAACTGCGTCTCTCAGTTCCATCTTGTAACCAAACATTGCCTTGGAACGGCCGCGTTCACCGCCATACTTTTCATTGATCAAACGATCGAAATGAGAGACAATCGCCTCGCCTGACGCATGCGCAGTCGTTTTTCAGCCCTGCTAGCTCGTCTCAAAATGGCTGCTCTTGTGTAGCGCGCATGTGCACCTGGAATGCTGATCAAGAAAATTGACGGCTCAATTCTAATTTTTTTCTCGTGAAAACTTTTAAGTGAGGAATCTTTTGTATTTCTCAAAACTTTACTATTTTTGCGATCAAAGAGAAGGCCGAGCAAGCGGAGCCAAGGAGAGCTTAGCCCCTAAACCTTTAGCTAAACATTAAAGACTCACAGAAAGTACTTAATATCATGGCGTTTTGCCCAGAACACCCTAAGTGAGACCAAAATCCGAAATTTACACCCCTAAGCGAGACGACGAGCATCCCCACCCAATTCATATACGGAGTACCCCCCGGGCTACAACCACCCCACTTTTTAAAAAAATGTTCCACCGCCCCTGACTATCACCTTCAACACCTTACGGGACACAAAACACGGCTTAGTATTTTCCGAAAAGAATAGACATATTTACTCGTGGAACTGTCATGCATTGTTGGCACAACCTACAGATGACGGTCATAGATAAGTCAGTTATCTACTAGCAGATATTCTGTAGGTTGCGCAAGGTTGCACTGATTTTCAAGGTTAACTGTAGGTTCTCAGCCCATGAGAAGACAGATAGTATTAGTAAGGAGAATTTTCACATCTTAACAGTATAGACAGGGCGTGATTCCGAGGGTGAGTCGATTAAATTTCAAGTTTAAGGGCCGGGGATATCAAGGAGATGGTTATCGACTTTAAGAAGATCTCTCATAACTTCTCCCCTCTCGAGGTAGGCAGAAACGACCTTCCTGTCACCGACTGTGCGAAGATACTACGTGTTACGATATCCAGTGACTTGAAATGGAACAATCACATTGTAGATTGCATTAAGAAAGCAAATAAGCGCCTGTATTTCATTGTTCCCTTGAAAAGGGCTCGTGTTCCCCTTAATGACATTGTGAACTTCTATTGTACAACAATCAGACCTGTACTTAGCCTGTGTCAGGCTCTCAGATAGTATAGTGGGAACGTATTAAAACGAGCAAAGCGAAAATAAGACGCGCACGACTTGGGAAAGGGGGCGGCCAGTCCCCGCGCGTTTTTCGCATTTCTTATTACTGAACGACTTTCCACCACCATCTCGGAGCCTGGAACAGGCTAAGTCTGAATCGGTAGCAGAGCGTTTCCTTTCCTTGGTCCAAAATTTACCGTGAGTTTAAACAAGACCTTCAAACCCTAACCCTGTTTAAACCACTAAAGCGCGCATATATTTTTATGGGTGGCCTGTAAAAACGCTATTTTGCGAGATGAATATTTGCGGTTTAGTTCTAATCGCCGAGGTCAAATATTCATCTCTCAAAATAGCGCTTAAAACAGCACGGGACGGCGAAAAAAACATGACACATGACTCAGTTAACATTTTCTTCAAACTTTCATTGAAAAATATGCTTTAAATTCTGCATTTTGGAACAAATTATAGCCACCGTATTGTTCATACGTATTTCCTCTATATAAAAAAAGATCGTTGCTCAGATTTCAATCAAAAACGGCCCCCACTAACAGAGGGTGGTCTGCCTGTGCTCACACGTGCATTGCTTTCTACATAATGTCTTTATTAACTGTTCCATATTCTATTATATGGAACAGTCAACGGCGAACTCAAATTCATTCAAAATCGCTCAAAAAACCGCTTTTGAGGCAAAAGGACGACTATATACCACAGGTAAGGTAATTCAACGTTTATTTATCATTGATTTATATACATAGTTAGCGATATATCGCTATAGGTGAAGCAAAGGTAAATCCAGTACATTTACTATAAGGTCCTATAAATAACAATTGGCTACACAAACAGATTGTGTGGGCCCCGTGTGGTACTACTTAGAATTGCGGTTTACTGTTTATACCCAGACATACCGGACATACCGGCCTACTGAATAACGAACCAATAGAATTCGGTCTACGAGACAACGCTGAAGAATTACCGCGCATTATTGATTTAATATCAGGTTTAATATCTTTCTAGTAATTTGTGCAAGCAGCCTGTGCAAGCTTTTGAGAGCACCGGCTGTGAAAAGCGCGTGTACACCGTAGCACCGAAATGTTTAGTGTTGCTTTACTTATAACGACGTGCATTCTTGGGTACTTTGTGATGAAGATATGCTTAGCTGTGATAAAAGCCTGTGAAAGAGTAATCGGTATCAGATTCAGGCTCCTGAAAGGAAAACAGAAGAGCAAAGAGACCAAAGAGTGGAGCAAAGAACCTCAAACACCAGGCGAGAGGTACAAGGAATAAACAGCATTAAAGTACCTCCAGCCCGCACTCACAGGAACACGTACGAAAGAAGGGTAGGCAATTCATTCTCTCCCAGTTTAATTTATAATTTAAGATAATCCAAGCGCCTGCTCCCCAAGCTAATTTTCAATCCACGAACCAAAAAGGTTGGTGTGACTTTGTACGTTGTATATGTTTTTTACATTTTGCGTTAAAGATTTGTTCTGCTGAGACCAGCCTACGAAAGAAGAGCCTTAGTCGTTCACGAGGCTTCAGAAATGGACACAGGAGAGCAAAGATCCGAACGCACAACTGCAGACAGAAGGCAAAGTATCTTCCGCCAGCGCCCCCAGGAACACGATGAACGAACGGTAAGTAAAAGTCATTCGCTGCTGTTTAACAAGTCAGTTTTGTACCGATTTGCAATTTTCCTTTCCTGGAAGTATATCAAAGGCATTAGGACTAAATACTTTCTGTGTAAGAAATGTGCGTATTTTTTATCCTTGGTAGTCTTTACAGCTGGAATTCTCTGTTGCACACTTTGTAAATAACCAAATAACTGGGCTGTTTTTGTATTACAAAACCAAGGAATGCCTAGGCTCGACCAACTGCCCGTTAGTATTAAATAATAGTAAATATTTTTTTATAAAAATCATCATTCATTAAATACACCTTTATACACCGTATTCACAAATGGCGGACACGCGGGAAAAAACTGGTGCCTAGTCATGAAAGCGAGGAGTTGGAGGATAAACAAAAATTGCAAATGAAGACTTTCAGTGAACTTGCGGGGTGTTTAGCACGGATTCCACCTAAAATAACTTTGTACGGACTTCTTTTTAAATACAGTTACGTGGGATGTCTTCTGCTTTTAATGTTTAGTAATGATTTGCTGTTTGCAATCAAAAGGGACGCATATATCTTCAAGGAAACAGGATGATTTTGTAGGTTTCCGACGCATAAGAAGCTCGACAAGTGGACGATGACTGGAGAAAAGCGGCAAACATGTTGGCCCAAACTTCACACTGAAACCGAATACGAAAGCCAAATCACTACAATTCTGTAAAACAGAAATAAAAACAGATATTGGTGGCGAGAAAAAGAGAAATAAGCGACGGATATATGGCCACAAAACAGGTCAAGCTGAGAGCGGGTGAAAGATTCATTCACGAGGCTCATTCATTCATGTCAGTGACATTTTATACATATTTGTCTGTATATATGTATGTCTGTATTTACAACTTCCTTTGGATCATATTAATTCCGTCGCTTTGGAGCGAATTGTTTAATAGAGGTACGTTGGCAGACCTTAGCAAAAATCTCATGATTTCTTTGTCATTGCGAAATAATTAAAAATAATTTTATCAAAATTAGAAGCTGTAGTGTGTGAATCTTATGGCTTCCTATTTGCCTGGTCTCCTTTAGGGCATTATCTCAGAGAGCTCTTGGTAAAAAAAGTGTTTGTGTCAGGACTGAACACGGCAAGCTTCTGTTTCGAATAATTAAATTCGAGTCTGGATCCGTTTAAGAAGACCATCATTTTATTTATTTATGTATTCTTCAACTTTAAAATATAATGGAACATAAAGTTAAAACTCTTAACAGCCAAAGATAAGAAATACGAAATTACTCGCTAAAATGCAGTAAAATGATATGTGTCCGGCTTACCGAGTCTGCCGAGTAACAAGTTGAAATTTTGAGCGTACTCCACTCGATCGCTCCTGCATTTATAATAAAAAAAAATAGTTGTAATTGATGTCCTTCATCGATAAAGACCAGAGAATAACGTCCTGGCAAACAAAAATCAAACATAACTTCATCGAAACCTCAGTCACCTCTTCTTTCCTGTCTTCCTTTTTTCCATCTCGACTTGAACTGCAGACGGTTGTTGCGAAAACTAAGACCCCCGAAAATTAAGACCTAAGACCTAAGACCCGAAAACTAAGACCCGAAA